TGGGTTATTTTTTCTGGAACAACAACAAAAATGATCCCAATTAGGTAGAAACCAAGAACTCGCTCTAGGACAATGAGGCGAACCTTTTAGAGCTTTTGATGATATAAACAGCCTGCTATGTGTGTCATAGGTTCGCCACCATTGCTCTAGGTGATTGTGAGGAGATCCACATTGAACATCCCTGGTACAAATCTATGTGATAAAAAGTAAAGCTAATACAGTCTCTTTGGGACTGAAACTAAGCTCAAGAAAAGACCAGACAATGTGTGTTCTGCCAGGTCACAGGGAATGGATATGTATAGAGAGGTCTTTGTGGCTTGTAAAATGCAGACTTTACATTTGCACATGTCTGTCTAGCTGATAACCAGGCAGAGGCACAGGCGACCAAGACAAAGTCCAAAGCAAGCCAGGGTTATATGACCCATGGGCTCTGGAGACCCAGGATACCCATGCCTTTGTCGTACCTAGGCTCAGGGTGGATAACTATGGTGAAACAGTAGACACCTCACATGTTCTCAGACAGACATGACAACACAAAAAAAGAAAGAATATGTTTACATTCTGGCTTAATGTTTTTCTTTTAAAGTACCCAATCCAACTCTCACTCTATCTATAACATATTTAATCTCTCTTGTCCTTAAGAAGAAAGTCTTCTTTTCCCCTCTGAGTTGCCTCCTTTCTACAACACTAGATGTACTTGCCTCATTTCTACTCTGCATTCCTTTGAGGGGGGCATACTGGGGATCAAACTCAGAACCTTGTGCTTGCGAAGCAGGCGCAGTGCCACTGAGCTAAATCCCCAGCTTCCAACACTAGCAATGCGGCTTAACATAGAGGTTGCACTTCTCTTTATAAACAGTGGGCTCTGTGGAGACGACTTCCCTGGAGCCCCACGCAGCATAGCTCTGCTGAGAAGGATATTTTGATGCCAGGTGGAGCATGAGCTGGAGGGAGGAGGCTTTTCCTCATCAGTGAGGCCAGGGCACATGGCGTGGCAGCCTGCTTTCCTCATTCCCATCTTCCACGCAGTTTCCACCTCCAGGGCCGCAGGCAGGATAAGAGCATGCACCAAAGCAGAAGCTACACGGTGCCCAAGGGACAGCGCCACAGAAGCAGGGATGGATAGAACGCTACAGTTTGGAGGGTCCTTGTAGAACATCAAATTCAAACCTAGAAAAGTCAGTGATGAATCCAGAGATACAGAGATGTTAAGTAGAACCCAGGTCATTATCCAACTCCTCTGAATCTCTAACACATGATGATCTGAGTACAGGAAGAAGCAAAATCTTTAGACTTTAAATCCATAGATAAGTCCTCCCACCCCCACTGATCAAATACACTATCTCCCTTAAAACTGTCTGTCTCTCAATTCCATTCCTCTCAGTCCTTTTAGCTTACTAATCTTGAGTTTCTGATTCTTATCTAGGATTTAGCAGACATCCTAGTGGAATCCCAACTCTGCCCCAGCATGCTGCAGCTTGAGAAAGGAAATCTTGGGGAAGCAGAAGTGCCCATGCATCGTGCTTACAATAATACTGCCTCAAACTGAGCTGCTTTCGAAGGTTATGCTGGCAGAAAGGCAAGAGATCATCCACCTAGCATGAGGGAAAAGGCTAAGAATTCATAACAAATAAGGAGGGTGGGGCTGGGGTTTGGCTCAGTAGTTCCACAGCCTGTCAAGCACAAGCGGAAGGTCCAGAGTTCGATCCCCAGTACCAAAACAAACAAACAAACAACAACAACAAAAAACAAATAGGGTGGAAGAAGGACAGATGCTTTGGGTTCAGCCTGGAGAGCAAGAGATCAGTGACTTTCACCTGGCAGAGCATGGCCTTTAAGGCAGCAAGCACCATATTAGACGAGCTCGCTGCCAAGGACATATAATTTATGTCCTCTGATATTCTTGTTCCTGCTCAAAGGAAGGTGCTTCGATTATTTCCCAAATGATGGTCCAGCTGGGTGGGGTGGTGCACATCTTTAATTCCAGCACTTGAAAGGCTCAGACAGAAGGGTCATCACAAGTTTGAAGCCAACAGGTTTCCAAAGTGTAGTGGTTATCACGTTCACCTCACAAGTTTGAGGCCAGCCTGGGCTACACAGTGAGTTTAATACCAGCCTGAATTACACCGTGAGACCCTGTGTCAAAAAAACCACACACAAGGCTGATAATGTAGCTCAGTGGTGCAGTGTCTGCCTGGCAAGCACGAGTCCCTGAGTTCAATTCCCAGTACCAAAAAGAAAAGAAACAAAGCACACACACAAAACCCATGCAAATGATGATCCAGTTTGTCCAGTTATACATAGAGTGCAGGGCCTTCTAACTACAGCTGGCTTTTAGGCAAGGGCCTAAAAGGTTACCCAAGGGCCTAAAAGGTTACCCAAGGGGGTAACCAGTATGTCTCCCAACGGATGAGTGAACTGGTACCGCAGAGCACAGCAGCCCTGCTCTGTCACCCAAAGCAAAACTGTTCCAAGATGGGGGCAGGCAGAAGGTACTGGGCTCCAGAATGTCTGAAAAGCATAGGTGAATTCCTAAGTAAGAGTTCTGGGGTATTATGTATTTATATTATTCAGATTAAGAGTTAATCGTGTAAAGAATCATTCTTATACCCTTTATAGCTCATCTTTCCCCAGAAAATGGATTCTTGCTGTATTTTTGAAGGAATAGATGCAGTAGTCTAAATAGTAATAAAAATAATAAATTTTCTTACAACAGAAAAGACAACCAGAAAAAGGGATTCACTTCAAATGCAACATAATTAGCACTACCTAATAATCAGCAAACTAGCAAATTTCCTTTAGGAAAAAATGTGCCTCTCATAAAGATGAGATATAATAAAGAAAAGAAGGAAGAAAGGAGTGAAAAACTCAGAGTGGCAGAGTAAGCTATGAATTTAACCTACAGCCCAATGTTCAGGCCTCAACTAATGGCAGACTAAGAAGCTGAACCAAAACTCTTTGTGTCTCCTGGGTTTCTAAGAGTCAAAAACAGGATTAAAACGGCTTTATTTCACCAGAACACATTTTGTCATCTGATCTATCCATGACACAGATAAGAATAAGTAACTTCTGGCTACACTCAAATGGAAACAAGTCCCTGAATACATGCCTCATTTCACTTTAGATGGCAAATCACTAATGGTTTATCTACTTTTTTAAAAAACATCTTTAAAAGAAAAAAAATTATTTTTAATTAAAATTTTCACATTTTTATTTTAAAATTAAAATAAACCATTAAAAAAAAAAACCCAAAAAGAGTGACTGCAGGGAGGGAGGGACACAGCAATAAAGGGTAGGAGACAGAAAAGAAGCAGAGAAGAGCGTGAGGCCACCAACACAGTAACAGGGCACTTGAGAGGCCTTGTTCCGGCATGGTCCCCTCACTGCACCCCACGGGGCAGCTCAGACAGGGCACTGGAACCCTCAGAGATCGCAGGCCCATCCCCATGACAACACTCCCAAAGGTGATGTCAACTTGTGCTCAGTCCAACAACGAGGGCCCCCTCCTCACAACAGCTCCTAGAGTTCTACCCTAAAGAAATCACCGAGGCGAGGGTCACAAGGATATACACAAGAAAGTTCATCACAGCTTCGGTGAGAACAAAGGATCTGAAACAAATTTTTCAACAGAGTGAGAATAGATAAACTAAAGGAAGGCACAGCTCCTAGAAATTCACGTTCAAAGATTTAAAGACACAGTAAGCTACTTGTGACACCATGTACACGAGGGGGGGAAATAAGAATACCAACCTGTCCATGTTTATATGAACTTTTTTGTTTAAATATACATATTTATGCATTTTTCAATACTAAAAAGAAATTCAAAGTCTAGCTCTGTTCTAGATGGAGGAAAGATGGATGATTTTTAGTCTTTGGGCTTTTCTCTAATGAGCACGTATTTTATACTAGAAAAAAACCCCAATAAATAGTCATTTTAAAAAATATCTTCCCTACAATCTTTCATTTAAAATGGCAGTTGTAGTCTTAGGGAAAGGCTGCAGAAATTCAAGACAGGCTCAGGACATAGAGATCCAAGTGTACACAGCCCCTTGAGAGACCGACCGGGCTGAGGCAGTCCGGCCTTCCCCTCTCGCTGCTGCCTGTGTGTCACTGGGCCTCGTGGGAAGCCTCCCTAAGAATCCCTTCCCCCTGCCCACAGCAGCCAGGGAATTGTCAGGGACCTGCTTGCTAAGTTGTTTCTTTGGTTTTTTTGCCTCTCCGTCTGAGGATCTGAGGGAAGGAGAAAGTCCTACTCTTGTCTCAGAAGGAAAAGGTTTTCTTATAAAGCTATCAAAATGACTCAAAATCAGCTGCACAAATTTTGAAACACAGGTCATGAGGTACGGTCAGTAACCATATATAAAATACCAATCTTTCAGTGCCATCTTGTGGCCAGCCTGACTATTACCATGACCAAGCACCAGGCTGCCTTCCCCATCCATCTCCAGGGCTTTCTTCCACCCCTGGTTCCACAGTCAAGAGGCACAGGCCCTGTGTTTGTCGTATACAACACTATATACACATTTCCCAAATGGCTCTTACTGTTTGTATTCAAGGAGCTCTAGCCTAGAGCCCAGAACTGCCGAAGGGCAGAGGAAGCAGACACAGGATGAACTACAGATGTGAGCCACAGTGCTGTCATGATGCAGGGACCTGCAGAAAAATATCTCTTCCCCTAAAGATACGCACTGGTTGTATAAAGTTAGGAAAAGTTTCACATTTACATTCAGTGAGCCTTGTGCTTAAAAGTAGTTTTATTTATTAATGTCATATCAACTATCACCAGCTTGGGCACAATTCCAAAATAGAGCTCTTATTGGGTTCTGGCCATAAAATTCTTTGCAAACATGTTAAGATCATGTAAAATAGCTGGGTGTGGTGGCTCATGCCTGTAATCTTAGCACTCGGGAGGCTGAGGCAGGAGGATCGATGTGAGTTCGAGACCAGCCTGGGATACATAGTGAGTTCCAGGTCAGTCTCAACTACATAGTGAGACCCTGTCTCAAAAAACCAAAAAAAAAAAGATCATGTAAAATAGGAAAGTTTTACTAGTAGTTTAGAAAAAACACTAATCACTAATAAACTGATTTTATACTCAAAGTGGTAGCCTAACATTTTGAAAGATGAAACATTCACCCTTTGAACATCTACAGTACAAGTAAATCTCAGGGTCCCAGGCATCAGAGGAGGTGAACTCTTCTCACCACAATTTGACCAAATGGTTCTGGGAGTGAATTAAGTATGAAAAGAGGTCAGTATTGCAAATCTGCTGGCACCTAGAACACTGAAGGGAGCTGACATGGGTTCTAAGAAAAGATAATCTTCCCCTCAGAAAGGGATCAAGCTAAAAACCTCACAGCCCTGGGCCAGAGTATTGAAATAAGCAGGCGACAAACAAAATGAGGAAAAGCTAAATAAACTACCAGAGCTCTCCTGGAGAGATGAATATTCTTGTCTCTGCCCCAACCCAGGCTGAAGGCTTATTTCAGGAATGGATCCCCCATGTTGGGCAGAAGCACATGGCAGGATGTTGCTACTTTGGTCCCAGATGTATAAAGAGGAATATTTTCAAGTATGTGAAATAAACCAAGCAACCCAGGTGGGTAGATCCCAACCAGATGACTCTCAGAAGAGCAAGGAAAATCAGACTTCTGAGGCTGAACTGGGACAATGAATATGACTCCCTTGGTCCCTTCTGCAACCTCTGTAAGTACATTTTCTCTCTCCTAACCTGACGAAACTGACACCGTGGACTTCTGCTGTTAGGGAAACACCAAAGTGGTGGACAGGGAAGAAATTGATTTCACTCATTTTCTCAGTCTTCACAAGTCACTTCAGTCTTTATTTTCTCTCTTCAAAGGACAAGCAGAAGAGAGAGAGAGAGTAAAAGAAAGGCCAAGGCCTCTGTGGTCCACAAAAACAAAAGAGGAGGAAAAAATATGCTCTGCCCAATGAAAACTCAAAACTATAAACTCCCCTAATTTAAAACAAGAGTCTTGCTTCCCTCAGAAACACCCTGGGACTAGTACAGATTAGTACTGAATTGGGTCACCCAGGCTGGGACAATGATATATTAAAATAGGAAGAGGTGACCTTTCAACTTTTGGCTACAGCTTCCTACCCATCCTGACCTGGGTGGAAAGCAGCGGTCACGACAGCTTGACGGGAAGATCCTCCCTGTGTTTGCGGAGCAGCTTCTGATGGTTGTGGTCCACTGACCACTGCTGGGGCAGGTGCTTGGGCTGCATGGAGTCCAGGAAGTGCTGACGCCAGCGGCTCTCCAGCTGCATGAGGGACCGCAGCCCACCTCGGGCATGACACTGCACCACCTTCAGCCCATGGGGAACGTAGCTTACATTGGAAATCCTGCCAAGACACCAAGTGCAAAGGATGTGAGGGAAACAAGCACAAGATATTCTCCCAGACAGCCTCAATGATGCAGGCCAAGGGCATATGGGCAAGTGGCTAGTTTCCTGAAGGGCTAGTTACTTGAATGTTTTTCAAAACACCCTTAGTCATCTCTGCTTTTCTTCTTCTTCTTATTATTATTATTATTACGTTTTTGTGGTACTTGGGATTGAACCCAGTGGCTTTACACTGAGCTACATCACCCACTTCTTTTTATTCTTTGAGAGAGGGTTCCACGAAGTTGTCCAAGTGAGACTTAACTTGCAGTCCCTTATGATCCTCCTACCTCAGCTTCCCAAGTCCTGGGATTACAATGTGCCCAGCTCTGCCTGTTTTTGTTTATGTTTTGTACCAGGGATCAAACTTGGGACCTTCTGCTTGTGAGGCAGACACAGAGCAAAATTGCCAGCCTCTGCCTTTCTTTTTAATAGTTTGGATATACAGTTCACAATCCACAAAAGGCATTTGGGAGCTCTGCGCTGTACGTAAGAGAAAGACCATTGTATAATATTTTGTCCCACTAAGATGGCTCTACTGGGTGGCTGATGATGGGTGCAGAGTTTTGGCTCTTTATTTAGTTTAAAATTACTCCGTAGTTTAAAATTACCAGCTCATTCTTCTTTTATTATTTAGAACCCTTCCCAGTATTGAACGGAGGCTGTGAAATTATCCTGTAATCCTAGCTACTCAGGGGGCTGAAGCAGGAGGATCATACGTTCAAGGCCATCTGGGTTACAAAGCAAGACCCTATCTCAAAAATCAATCAATCAATAGGGCTGAGAATGTAGCTCGGCCACCGGAAGTTCAATTGTCAGTACTGAAAAAATAAATCACCTCACATGGTCCTGGTTTTTATAACACTGTGATACCTAAACGTAAATGCAAGACGATATTCCTTACTGCTTTCTTTCCCACAAGAAGAATCCCAGAGCTCATGCACAATAAGTGTTTCAGTCAGACTGAAATGCTCTTCTGGCCACCTAGCAAATGGTACTGCTGAAGAGAAGATGGAGCCTTGCTCCTTCCTAACAGGCAGAGAGCCTTGAAAATTGCTCTGACACCGTGAGAACAGCGCTCTCCCTCCTGAGAAGAATGATGACATTTCTCAAAGAAGCGCTCTCAGGCTGCAGCCTCTCCCTCCACCCACAATCCATTCTCAGTTCTCCCTCCCACAACCCCTTTGGCCTAGTAATGTTACTGCTCTCTGGGTATTTAACTCCAAGCCCTGTCTCCAAATACTGTTCTTCTTAGTACCTGTCTGTCCAATTCAGCAAGATGCTAACTTTCATCAGAAAGGTCTAGAAGTGGCTAAAGAGGTGGGGCTGCTTCAGAAATTTCATATGGGAATTAGTTGATGGAGCCAGTCTCACTGATTCGTAGTATGACCTTAGCAAGTGACTTACCTTTAAGCTTGAGATATCTAATATAAAACTGAGAAAACAACACTTATTCTATAAATGCACAGAACAGTTACAGGGATAAAATTCAACTATGATTTTTTTAAAACTTTAAAAGATTTTTTTTTTAATGCAAGATATAATATTAGCAGTTACCAATAAGAAATCTAAATCCGGGCCAGGGATTTAGCTCAGTGATGCTGCCACCTGCCACCTGCCTGGCAAGTGCAAGGTCCTGAGTTCGATCCCCAGTACCAAAAAAAAAAAAAAAAATCTAAATCCTATCTTATCAGGTTATTACAAGAAAGAATTAAGACCATTTATGTAAAGTTTATTAGCTTAGTGGTATATAGCACATTATATTTATAAATACTGTATCTGTTCAGTAAATAATTGCAATATCTGTAATATATCAGTAGCATGAATGAAATAAACACTTGTGTTTGAATAAATCTTTTGTTGCTATGAAGTTTTTTTTTTATCAATTACGAAACACTACAGAAAATCAGCATCACTATCAGGTTTTATGGACCTCGACTCCTAAAAAGTGAAGCAACACTATGTATATATAGTAGCTCAAAGTTCTTATATCATCTGAGCCAGGTGCCCATTCATTTCTCAGGACCATAAACTTCTCATTTAAGAACACTGAGTTATGTCACATTAATGCAGTTATGCGCTTTTTTTGTACCAGGGATCGAACTTGGGACATTGCGCTTTTGAGGCAGGTGGCGGAACCACTGAGCTAAATCCTGAGCCCCAATTATGCACATACAGGGAAGGTAGGAGAAGGCAGTAAAGAAAGAAAAAAGGAGAAAGTAATTGATAAGACAGTAATTCTGCTCAACATTCCATTCAGTGGATCAATACCCTGGAGTGCAGATGAGATAAGAAATGGAACTCTCTGGTCAAAGTTCTCATCAAGCTATATAGAGGGCCGGGGAACAAAATCACATACACTACTTCAGGGCAACTTCAGAGATTTCAGGGCATTACTGGACAATGGTTTTATCTTATGTGTTGACTTCAGGATCTACCTCTACAGAACACATAGGATGCAATTCTGCATTTTGACTCCCCTACTACTCATGAAACGACTGGACTTAAATATGTGATCTTAAAGGGTCAAAGGACAGACAATTTATAAAAGGCAAACTCCTGTGGAGATGAAATTCTCAGATATATCATTCTATTACCGTCCCATGGTATCTCAAACCACTAGACACGTAGTGGGCTAAGCATTTGGACAGGCACTGCCCCTGCCCTGGCAAGCATTCTCATGAAGTAGCGAGTGGTAGTGTCATCGGGGTGTCCCCCAACCCCTGTTCTGACAAGGACTGCATGCTGTACCTAGTCTCCAGGCTGGCAGCCTCTTGAAGCATCTCATCTGTGACAGCATCTGTGCTGTAAAATCCTCGGAGTGCTTGCAGCAGCTCCTCCTTCCGATGCGGAGGCAGGCTCTCTGCATTAAGCAGTGCCCTGGCCCCAGAGCGCACCTGCCGGCGCTCAGGATCTTCCAGCAAGCGCAAGCCCTCCTCAGAGCCAATGGGGGCCTGGAATTCCTTGGCCAGCTGCTGCTTCAGATGGTTGTCATAGTAGTTGGAGATGGCATGGCAAGAAGTGCAGAGGAGCAGCACGTCATGGGAATTGTGGTCCTTCATTTCGATGGGGAAATGCTTCCGGTACTCGTGTGGAATCACGTTCTTCCTGGAATGAGCCCACCCAGAGAGCACACTTATTAACACAGGACACAGAACCCACACCAAGCCAGAGGTGGGCTGCTGGGAGTCTAGCCCAGACTTAAACGTGACTGCGAAGCCTTGGGTACCACAACCCAACAAAGAGTATATGAAGGCATTGCTCCTGCTCCACTCTCAGCCCTACTGATGCCTTGCCTTCCTCCGTACCTACCTGTGTGCTTCAGAGTTCTCAATCCCTTGAAGATACACCACCTGTTTCAGTGGAGGGCCAGAGCAGGGAGAGGTTAATAACCACCTTCGAGACGGCCACACTCTCAGATGGAGAAGTCTCAGAAAGAGCTCTGCCATCTGGAAAACAACTCTTTCAAGCCTGACGACCTGAATAAGCCCATCTTTCATCTGAGTAATCCCTTACTCTGACATTATTTCCCTGGTTCACCTAGGTCCATCATTATTTTAAAAGGAGAAATAAGCTCTCAGATAAAACTCGCAGAGACAACTGTTTGTTTCATTTTGCAAGGGGAGAAAGGAGGAGAGGGAATTACTGCACAGAGGCCAGGGAGGGTGCCTGAGCGTAGGTTCTCAGGGCCAGTGGGCAGCCTCGCTTCACTGTGCAGCAACTCGAACATGAAAGAACAGGAAAGCTCCGTGATGAGGCTTGGAGAGCTTTGGAGCTTCAAAGGAGGGTTTTGAGGACACAGCTTCTGGAGAAAGTGGCCTTCAGTCCTTCGCGAGCAGAAGGGAGCCACTTTCTCCATGCCAGACTATTACTGAGAATAGTGTTGCATTCCAGAGAACAAGAACTGGCTCAGTGGGGATAAGGGCCACAGGAGAAGGCCAGGCAGTGTCGAAGCTCTGGGGGAAATGGGCCCAGAGCTGAGCCTCTCAGCCAGAGTGGGCAGACCCTGAGGGCTTTGCATGGTAAACACCACACTCACCGAATGTAGGAGTCTGTCCTGCCGCACACTGCACACACGTTCTCCTTAACCATCAGGTAGTAGTCTCCTGGGGACTCAGGTCTCCCCGCAGGTTCAAACTGTAGCTTCACCACAAAAGGGTCTTCACTCACCAGCTCTGAAGAGAAAAGAAGCAGTGTCAGTGTTGGATTGCCCCTTCCCTTTTACTGAGGAAGGCACATTCTCGAGTGCTCCTCCCTGTTGGCAGAGAACACTATTTCTGGGGTACAGCCAGCCAGTCCCATGAGTCTCAGGGTCTCCCTACTTCCTCTGTCCGTCCTTCTCCCACTCCCACTCCCACCAAAACCCATATGCACCGAATTATGCTAAACCATGACAGCAGAATCTCACACCTCCAATGCCTTTGTCCAGGTACCACTGAGCTTTCCTTCGATCACAGGTGCAGAGAGGTTGTCCATCAGGGGCATGGAGAAAGCAGTTATCATAAAGAGGAGATTTTCTGCAGGGAAAAGAGAGAGATCTCACGCTGAAAGCTAACTGTTGGTCAGGAACCTGCTACATTTCCATGCTTTCTTCCTAAAGACTCAAACTGCACTCAACATCAGGGGTAGACACACCCAGTATGTAAACGAACAGAACAAGAAGCCGTGTTTATCAAGAACTACAAATGAATCTGTTGATGTCTCTTGTTTTTAAACTAGGTACTGGGACATGAGAAAGTTCTACTGTGAGAGCAAACAGGAACAGAACAAGAAAAACTACCAAATGACTGGATTAAGCAAAGTAAATCAAACTTTTAAAAGTTCAAGATAACTTGAGGGCCATGTGGACTTATTTCTTGCTCACATGCAATAGTTTCTTCAATTTAACCACCCAACTATGAAAAGTATTTTTTTGCAGAGACCAAACTTCTGCTCCAAAGTATTTATTAGTCACATCATCCTACAACAGAGGTACAATTATACAGGAAACTGCTCATTGCCTAGAAAGTAATGGCTTAGAGCTGTCATTCTAACCATCAAATACCAAATGAGCAAGAAACTTCATGATGCATTTGTCCTGAAAAGCATAAGACACTGCATGCTACTCATTTTCACAACCATCCTAAACAAAAGAGAATAATAATTATACCCCCATTTATAGAAGAAATTATAGAACAAAGGTTACTGTGAGCTCAGTGACAAAACTAGACTAGACTTGCCTTATTGCCACTCCAATTGTTAACAAGCAGAAAAACAAAAGAAGAGGAAAAGAAGGAGAGCCTCCGCTTCCTGCCAAGCCACTGGCCAGACCCACAGGAAAGCATCACACCCTTTGTAGTGTCCCTAACTCCTCCAGCCAGGGAACAACTCAGTTACCTGGCAGAATAGCCCACCCCCAGAGGCTTCCTTTTATTTTTCCTGGGGTCTCTCCCTTGGTGGTTGCCTGGTGGAGTTCCACTGCTCCTAGACTTCTTATTTCTTGGCTTCTGCTGAGATTCCGTTGGCTCCCCATTGACTTCTTCTATCAATCTGCCAATCCCTTTGCTTCGGAATGGGATGTCTACAACATCCTGGCATTTCTCCCAGACTTTTCTCCAGCCAGTGTGGACACTGCTTGCTTCAACAGAATTCCTAGAGAAAGGGTATCCAAGAAGATGGAGGAAGAGAGCCACTGAAATCTGGGCATCTCTGGCAGCATAAGTCACCTGCAGAGAAAGTCAGATATCAGTGGAATCTAGAAGGTGAGCCAGAAAACAACTTCAAAGTCAATCACAATGAGTTAGACGATTTTTAGGATCTTATTTCAAAATATGTAATAAGTTAGACACCATGTACTTCTTAAAAACTTTTTATCATGTAAAATTTCAAACTTTACAAAAGTAAATAGAATAGTATAATGAATTTTCATGTTCCTTCTGTGTTTAAAATAATCATATGCTCTATGCTGGAAAATCTTAATCTACATAGATTAGAAGTTTGTTTCTATTTGCTACCAAACTGGATAGATTTTTCTAAAGTTTCGGAGGAAGGGAGTTAAGTCTAACAATGAACATATACAATTCATTTTGGGGACAGTTATCCTACAGAAGAGCTAAAATCATGACTCATCAAGAGGCTATGTGACTCAATCAGAATAACCTTTGATATCTGCTAATAAGGTGCTAAAAACAAGAGAAACACAGGTTTTATCAAGGACTTCAAGTCAAAAGTCAAAGGGCCCATTCCTGAATTTACTTATTTATTTAATAATGGTATGTCAACTCTCCTAACCAACTGAGAATATGCAAGCAGGTCATAAACAAAAGTAGTCAAGCTGGGAATGGTGGTAAATGCCTGTAATTCCAGCACTCAGGAGATTGAGGCAGGACGATTACTGTGAGTTCAAGTCCAGCCTGGGCTACATAGTGAGTTCAAGGCTGGCCTGAACTACATAGTGAGACTCTGTCAAAACCAACAAACAAACAAAAAAACAGTACTCAAAACTAAAATTAATAGCTTTTCTCAACAAAGGATGTAAGAGACTTTAAAATTGCTTTAATTTGCCTTCAATCACCAAGCCAGATACATAATTCTAATGGTAAGGATGCACTTTAAATGAGTGATTATTATTATACATAAATTATATATCAAAGATGTTTTTAAAAGAAAGGAAACAAGGCACAAAGAATTAACGTAGAATCTTTAGAAATCAGAAATCGTTATAGAAAACAAACTGAAATAATTTGATTTCTAGAATTCTCTCATATAATGTTAACCTTAAGACGCTGTTGCTAAATCTTTGTTTTAATGACATTTGGGAAGGATGAATAAGCAGTAACTGACCTGGCAAATGAGAGAAGGCTAAAACCTAGACCTATAGAAGGTAGTAGGCCAAAAAAAACAAAAACAATTTGGTGTGAGCCACAAAGGCCAGGAAAGCATAAAAAAACGGAGGCAGTCAGCATCTGTGAGCAGGCTGTGGGCAAGGTGAAAGCAAGATGGTAAGGGGAAGTCTCCAGAAAGAACACTTACAAATCCAAATCGCCCAGTCTAACCACAGACTGGCCAACTACCTCTCCCTACCCCCAAACAGATAAAAGTTTAAATCATATCGTGGTTAAACCAAAGAGGCTCTGAGGCTCGGGATTTAGTGCAGTGGTGCTGCCACCTGCTTCATAAGCACAAGGTTCTGAGTTTGATCCCTGGTATAAAAAAAAAAAAAGCTACAACAAAGAAAACCCAAGGTCCTGATGGGTTCCCTATTTAATTCTACAAGAAATTTAGAGAAGATCTAATGCTGCTACTACTCAAACTCTTTAATGAAACTGAAAGGAAAGCAATATTCCCAAAGTCATTCCTGGAAGCAAGCCTGATACCAAATCCAGAGACGGAGCCAACCAAAAAAGAAAACTACAAGCCGATCTCCTAATGAATATAGATGCAAAATTCCTCAATAAAATACAAGCAAACAGAATGCAGCAAATCATCAAGAAGGTTATATACTATGACCAAGTAGGATTTATCCCAGAAATTCAGGGATGGTTCACCGTATACAAGTCAATAAATGTAACACACCACATTAAGAGAATCAAGGACAAAACCCATACATTCATCTAAATAGATGCAGAAAAAGATCTGACAAAGTCCAATACCCATCCGTGATTAAACAAAACGAAACAAAACAAAAAAACCCTACAGCAAATTGGAATCAACGGTCTTTATCTCAATCTCATAAAAGCCATCTATGACAAACCAGCAGCCAACATCATACTAAATGGACAAAAACTGAAAGCTTTCACTGTAAAATCAGGAACGAGACAAGGATGTCCACTGTTATCATTCTTATTCAATATAGTTCTGGAGCTGGGTGTGGCGGTGCACGCCTGTAATCCCAGCACTCAGGGGGCTGAGGCAGGAGGATCGCTGTGAGTTCGAGACCAGCCTGGGTTACATAGTGAGTTCCAGGGCAGTCTCAACTACATAGTGAGACCCTGTCTCAAAAAAACAAACAAACAAACAAAAACTCAAACAATATAGTTCTGGAGACATCAGCCAGAGCAATTAGACAAGAGAGAAATAAAAGGAATAAGGAAAGGAAAGGAAGAAGTTAAATTACCATTATTTATGGATGAAACAATACTCTACACAGAAGACCCCCAAAATACCACCAAAAGACTTCTAAATTTAATAACCAACCAAGTTCAATAGTGTATTTGGTTACAAAGTCGACAATCAAAAACCAATTGCATTCCTGTACAAAAATAACAAACTCATGAGAGAGAAATTAGGGAAACCACACCTTTTATAATTGCATACCCTCAAAATGAATTACTTATGAATCAGTCTAAAAAGGAAGTAAAAGACCTCTACATGGAAAACTACGGTACTCTGAAAAGAGATCAGAGAGGATATCAAAAAATGGAAAGATATCCCTTGCTCTTGCATAGGAAGAATCAATACAGTGAAAATGGCTATAGTCCCAAAATCATTATACAGATTTAATGCAATCTCAATCAAAATACCAATAGCATACCTCACAGAATGAGAGAAAACAATCCTAAAATTCATTTGGAACCAGAAGAGACCTAGAACAGCAAAAAGCAATTCTGGGCAACAAGGGCAAGGAGGGCATCACAATCCCTGACTTGAAATTATTCAACAAAATTACTGTGATTAAAAACAGCATGGTACTGGCAAAACAAAACAAAAACAAACAAAAACCAGACTCGAAGATTAATGGAACAGACTAGAAGATGCAGAAACAACTCCACACTCAGTCACCTTATCTTTGACAAAAGGGCCAAACACCTTCACTGGAAGAAAGGTAGCCTCTTTAATAAATAGTGCTGGAAAATTGGCTCTCCACATGCCAAAGACTAAAACTAGAACCATATCTCTCGCCATGCACTAAACTAAAATCAAAATGGATAAAAGATCTAAATAGTAAAACAGAAACACTAAATCTACTGGAAAATAGAATAGGTAGAACTCTTGAAGACATAGGTACAGGCGAAGACTTTATGAACAAAACCCTGATAGCTCAGGAAATACCACAAGAATCAACAACTAGGATCTCATGTTATTAAAAAGCTTTCACACAGCAAAAGAAAACACCAACAGAGTGAAAAGACAACCCACAGACTACAAAAAAAAAAAAATTGCCAGCTGTTCCTCAAAGGATTAATATCTGGAATATATAAAGAACTAAAAAAAAATGAGACACCCCAAATATAAAGACCCAATCCAAAAATGGGCATCTGAAGTGGATGATACTTGTCAGATGAAAAAGTAGAAATGGCAAATAAATATATGAAAAAACATTCAACATCACTGGTCATTTGAGAGATGCAAATTAAAACAAAGTGGAGATTCCATCTCACTCCAGAGGGAATGGCTATTACCAAAAAATCAACCAGTAACAAATGCTGGTGGGGCTGTGGGGAGAAAGGATCCCTTCTTCATTATTGGCAGGAGTGCAGTGGTGCATCTACTGTGGAATTCAGTGTGGAGGTTTCTCCAAAAACTAAAACTAGGGGCCAGGATTTAGCTCAGTGGCATCGCTACCTGCCTCAAAAGTGCAAGGTCCTGAGCTCTACCCCTGGTATTAAACAAACAAACAAACAAACAAAACTAAAGCTAGAGGTTCCATTTGACTCAGCTCTCCCCCTTTTTGGCATCTTCCCCCAAGAACTAAAAGCATCATACCACAGTTGAACACCAATATCCATGTTGCACACCCACGTTTATAGCAGCACAGTTTGTAATAGCTAAATCTTTGAAATAGCCCAAATGCCCATCAACTGATGAGTAAAGATGTGGGTTTCTTTTAATATAGTGAAATAAAGAAGGACAAACTTGAGACATTTCTAGGTAAATGGATGCACCTTGAGGCCATATTCTTAAATGAAATAAGTCAGACACACATATTCAAATATTGCATAGTTTCTCTGGTATGAGAAAACAAAACTGCAAATATTGACCAAAATGTATAACAGATATTGTGAAATAAGAAGAAAATGTTCAAATGGGATAGGAAACTAGTGGGGTGGGGGGAGAAAGGAATGAAGGCAGGGAAAAGGAAAAGGGAGAATAGAAGAAAAAATGGAAACAGACCGGGGATTTAGCTCAGTGGTTCTGCCGCCTGTCTTGCAAGCACAAGGACCTGAGTTCGATCCCCAGTACCAAAAAAAAAAAAAAGGAAACAAAGCTATTGTAAATAAGGAAGGAAAGAGGGGTTGAAGGGAAGGGAGGGAAATGGGAAAAAAGAATCAAGATATATCATTACAGGTACAAATTCCAGAAGGTGAATGTTATCATTATGTATATCTAAAATAAAATTAATTTTTAAAAGTTGGAAAAGAAACAGGCTTAAAAGGAAAAGGAAAGAAAAGAAAAATACTTGTAATTACTAGAAAGAAATTTAAACGGTTGCCTCTGCGAAGCAAGAGGAATTAGGAACAGGGAGGGTAAAGAAGGAAACTACTTACTGTTTCTTATAATAGCTCTTGCGGTACTATATGATGACTGATTGATTGGTTTATGGAGATCAAATTCAGGGTGTTACACATATTAAGCAAACACTTTACCACCAAGGTACGCCCCTGGGTCAACAAATTATTTAAAAAATTTTTTTTAAAAATGACATTTTCTGCCTGGCACAGTGCTGCATACCTATAATACTGTTTGGGAAGCTGAGAAAGGAAGGTCACATGTTTTAGGCCAACCTGGGCAACTTACTGAGACCTTGTCTCAACATACAATTTAAAAAGGGCCGGGAAGGTAGCTTGGTGATAGAGCACTTGACTCAAGGGTTCAATCCCTCATACTGAAAAAAAAATTATACTTTTGGAAATACCTAGCAAATACTAAGTGATTAAACCAATAAAATGTAATAGACTCCTACTTTTTGATTTAAGTGGCATAAAAGTGACAGTAGAGCAATTATCATCAACTAGTAAGTCTCACTCTCTCTCTCTCTTTTTGGTACCGGGGATCGAACTGTGCTTGCGAAGTAGGCAGAGGAACCACTGAGCTAAGTTTCCAGCTAGTAAGTTTCTTTTCAGGCTTCCCTAACCAATACTTGCATCATATTTGAAGATTTTTGAAGATTAGAATTTTTTTTTTTTAATTTGGTACCAGGAATACAACTCAGGACGTTATGCTTGAGAGGCAGGCGGTGCAACCACTGAGTTAAATCCCCGGCCCTGAAGATTAGAATTTTAAAAACAATTACACTCCAGAGGCAATGGCTCTTTCAATTCTTTAATTCTTTTTCTTTCTTTCTTTTTTTTTTTTTTTTTTTTTTTTTTTTTGTATCGGGGATTGAACTCAGGATCAATTCTGTAACTACTCTGAAAAGAAGTACCTGGTCCTCTGTAAGATTCTCAGCATCCCAGTTGCTGCAGCGAAGCAGAAGGGACTTGTCAAGCGGAAAGTTCAAGACAGTCTCGGCGAGTGATTTCAGGCTAAGCCCATTGCAGAGCACACTGTTTCTGCAAGGAATAAATCATGCATCAAAAACTGGCAAAGGACATGAGCAGGAAAAGTACAAAGCAATGTCTGAATGGCCAATAAACTAAAGGCAGACAATTACAAGACAACAAAAAAATCAATAGTTTGTTATCTATCAGATTGCAAAGGCTTTAAAAAATAACTACATTTAGTATCATCAGAACTAAACAAATCAGGCAGTTTCATCTAAAAATTTGTGACTGTATTTTATGTGTAAGTGTGTGTATATGGCACTGGAGATTGAACCCAGGGTTTTGGAATCAAGCTTCATTCTCAGGCCTTTTTATTTATTTTGAGATAAGGCCTCACTAAGTTGCCCAGCTGAGTTGAAATTTGCCTCAGGCTCCCAGAGTGCTGAGATTACAGGCTATGTCCAGAAATGAACTCTGTATTTTTACAAACCTTATATAAAATAGCTTAATAATAGCTATTAAAATTTCAATATAAAAATTCTCTGATCCAGCAAGTTTGGAAAACAATAAGGCTATTTTCATTGAAGAGATAAAAGTCCAATAAAAGAAGGAATAGTACTCCATTCTTTCTGCTCTCCAAAATTTGCTGATTAAAATTGCTGCCAGGAAAAAAATTGCTTCAGGGCAGCAAAAATATTAATTTGTGCAAAGACTCGAGACTTCAACCAAGAGACCACTGAAATGATAAATGAGTCCAACATGATGGTATATGCCTGTAATGCCAGCATTTGGGAGGCTGAGGCAGGAGGATTACTGCAAGTTTGAGGCCAGCTTAGGCTACACAGTTAAGTTCAAGGCCAGCCTACACTACAAAGCAAGTCCCTGTTAAAAGAAAAAAAGAGAGGAGAGGAGAGAGCCAGGTGTGGTGGCGCACACCTGTAACCCCAGCACTCAGGAGGCTGAGGCAGGAGGATCGTTGTGAGTTCAAGACCAGCCTGGGCTACATATTGAGTTCCAGGTCAGTCTCAACTACATAGTGAGACGCCGTCTCAAAAAAAAAAAAAAAAAAAAAAAAAAGAAAAGGTGAAGAGAAAAGGAAAGGCTTTCCTTATAGAATAAGCAGGAAACTGACGATTCTCATCAGCCCCAAAAGGCAGAAACAGAGTAAAAAGCACAAAAAAATCCAGACACACCTTAAGTAAAATCCATAAAGTATTGGTACAGAACATAAATCAGGGGAAACATAAAACTCTCTTTTGCAACTGGGCACATAGCTCCATGGCACAGCATTTGCCTAGTATGTACCAAGTTCTAGGTTTAATCCCCAGCACTTCAAGAAAAAAATCTTATTAAACTTTGTTTTATTTTGTTTTTAAAAAGGTAGGGCTGTGCCAGGTGTGGTGGTGCACACCTATAATACCAGCACTCGGGAGGGAGGCTGAGGCAGGAGGATGCTGTGAGTTCAAGATCAGCCTGGGCTACACAATGAGTTCCAGGTCAGTCTCAACTACATAGTGAGACCCTGTCTCAAACAAACAAACAAACAGGTAGGGCTGGGAGTGTAGTTCAGTGTACAGATGTGCTGAGAAAGAGCAAGGCCCTGATTTCAATCCCTAGCATCTAAAGAATAAAACAGCATACAAGCAGCAAAAACAGTAATGAATGCTTACTGTTAAATTCGCACAACAGAGAAGTACAGTGAGCCTCCTCTCACATCAGTACTTACAAATGTTGTTTCATTCTTTCCCAGATCTGTGAAGTTTTCCAAGCATGGGTAGCAGTACTTCTTGAAACTGTTACCCCCATTGAAGACAGTATATAATTTTTGGTTATGTAATTCTATTTAGGTTATTAGTTTTTTTTTAAATGTTGTATTGGAAATATTTCACATTTCTTACAGATAAATAAAAAACCAAATGCCACCTTTGCCACTTTAAAGTTTCAATAGGAAGGCCGGGGATTTAGCTCAGTGGTTCCACTGCCTGCCTTGCAAGCACAAGGTCCCAAGTTTGATCCCTAGTACCAAAAAAAAACAAACAAACAAACAAACAAACAAATAAATAAATAAATAAATAAATAAATAAATAGGGAAGATTTCTGCTGGGCATGGTGGCACATGCCTTTAACCCTAGCCATCGGAAGGCTAAGTCAGGAGGATTGCCATGAGTTCAGTCCAGCCTGAACTACATAGTGAAACTGTCTCAAAAAAACAAAAAAAAACTGTCTCAAACAGCAATAGAAATTTAGTAGCTAAGAGCACTAAGTATGATTATTAAATTATGTCAATTTTCTTACACTATGTCAAAAATTGTAAGTTTTACTATGAAAATGCCCAATAAAAAAATTTCTGGGGCTGGGGATTTAGCTCAGTGGTGCCTCGCCTGCCTGGCAAGCACAAGATCCTGAGTTCAATCCCCAGTTCTGGGAAATAAAATTAAAAAATAAAAAACAAATTTTTTTAATATTGATGAAATTTTACTCAAAAAGGAGAGGCCTGATTAAAGTTTCTATTTTGAGTGGACCCAGGGCCTCATATAGGGCCTCACACTATATCCTCAGGCTTTTTTATTTTAAATTTTGAGATAAGGTCTTATTAAATTGCCTAGACTAGCCTCAAACTTGCAATTGTCCTGCCTCGGCCTCCTGAGTAGCTGGGATTACAAGCATGTCCCACTGCACTTGGCCCTGAACGTTTTGTTCTGATTTCCAGAGAAGTTTGTGGCAATGTTCAGCTTTGGCCAAATACTTATTTTGACCCTTGGTCATTCTGTATTTGGTCATAGAATTTAGCCAGGCATGGTGGCACACACCTATAATCCCAGCACTCTGGGAGGCTGAAGCAAAAGCATTGATTGCAAGTTCAAGCCCAGCTTGAACAAGACCCTGTCTAAAAATAAAAAGGCTGTGAAGGTAGCTCAGCATGAATTGCATGAGTTCAGTACCAACTACCCCCCAAAAAACTCAAAATTCAGTGTACCTTCAATTTCTCTACATTCATACAGGTGAGTATAAATGTATTTTTTAAAGACCTGGATGGAAAATAAATCAGATAAAGATCATGCTAAAAGTGCAGTGACAATGGTGATGACGACAGTAAAAGGTAAAATTTATATAGCACTTATACGTCACTACTACTTCTAAGCTCTTTCCATAATTGAATTCACTTATTCTTCACACCAGTCCTACAAGGGGGAGCATTATTATCTCTACTTTACAGATAAAGAAACTGAAGAACACAGAGTTTAGCACCTTGCCAAAGATGGCACAGCTAAGTGGCAGCACTGGTACATCCAGCCACCCAGCCTACTCCGGAGTCAACGTCAGCCCTTCCCACAGAGCACAGAGCACACGGGGCCTGAGGAGAGAAGGCATCTGCCACTATACTTCAAATATTTTCACAGAGTTCTAATTTTTATAGCGTTATTTAATGTGTTCTTGAAATAAATATGTTTATATTATTACAGTTTTATGTACATAAGCCAAACTAATAAAATTGTATTGCATACTAAAAAGTACGATAAGCACACATTTTAATCAGCCTTCTCTGAGCTTATCAAACCCTCCCACCTTTTAGTCCAGGGTCATCTGACACAGGTGAGGGGATGTTTTAATGCACGTTATTATGAAAGAGGACTCCTGCACATACATGAGAAGATAACTGTGACCGCTTCCCCAAGAAAGACAAGTGGTCATAGAATTTCCATAGGAACAAAATTCTTTTTTTTTTTTCTTTCTTTTTTTGGTACCAGGATCAAATTCAGGTTCTTGAGCTTGTGAGGCGGGTGCCGGAACCACTGAGCTAAATCCAGGGCCCAGGAACAAAATTCTAAGGAAAAGGGAGACAGATGTGGTGACACACCTGTGAGCCGAGCACTCAGGATATTAAGGCAAGAGAATCAACTTCATGGCAATCTTGGGTGATACAGCAAGATCCTATCTCAAAAAAAAAAAAAAGATGGAGAAGAAGAGAAGAAAGAAGGAAGAGGAGAAGGAGAAGAGACGATAACTCTCTTCTCTTCCAAGACAAGGGATAGGTCTACCATCGTTGCTGAAGGGAAGGTTTGCAAACTCGTTCCTTATTGAGATTAGTCAGGGTTATAATGTGAGTGGTGGAGACTGTGGTAAATTAAATAGAGCACCGCTCATCTAAAGAAGGCAGGCATTAATACCTGGGCCACTGTTCTAATCTGCAATACTGAATAGGTGGGGTCAGATCATCTAATTTTTCAAAAGAAGCCAGAAATACAGATGCTTACAATCAATCTTCCTGGATTTAAGCAGAATTTTCATACAGAAAAACAAAAAACAAAAAATCTACAGTCCTAGTTTAGTCAATGGGGCCATTAGTTTATAATCTGTAATGTACAGTGATACCTTATGAATGTTTTATCATAAAAAGACCAGCCGAGTGTGCTGGCAGAGGAGCCTGAAGCAGAAGGATTGCAAGTTTGAGGTCAGCCTGGGCTTCATAGTGAGTTCAAGGCCAGCCTGGACTACATAGTGAGACCGTCTCAAAAAATAGAACCAGCTGGGTGTGGTGGTGCACACCTGTGCACTCAGGAGGCTGAGGCAGGAGGATCGCTGTGAGTTCGAGACCAGCCTGGGCTACATAGTGAGTTCCAGGTAAGTCTCAACTACATAGTGAGACCCTGTCTCAAAAAAAAAGAACCAAAAATAATAAAATTTCTAGGTAACTAAAGTTTTCTCCAAAGTTGGAATGTCTCCTCACAAATTCAATATGCATTTGTAAAGAATTTCAAATATCTCCTTATTGATTCCCAGTAATACACAAATTTTGCTAATACATTTGACCAAAGTCACAGAAATCTCACCACTCATATAAACCACACCTCTGCTGCATGGCTAGGTATCGAAGGTCCAGGCACCCTCTAACCATGAGGCCATAATCCTGCAGAAGCTTGCTGGCATCTTCTGAACATCCCACTCCGACTTTTAAAATGGTGCCATCTGCCAAAATATCCAGTAATGTTCTTGGCAGTGCTCTGCCTCCACAGGTCAGCTTAGGCAAGCGAACCAAGACACAGAGGCCACTTGGTGAAGCCATTTGTAGGAGTGACAAAGGACTGGCTTTGCCTTCCAAATTCACCTGCAACACAGCAAGACAGATCATGGTTCACAACCTGTACAGCAGCAAGCACAGCCCCAAACTATAGCTACACAAATAAACAAACAAACAAGCCAGGGATTTAGCTCAGTGGTTCCACTGCCTGCTTCACAAGCACAAGGACCTGAGTTCGATCCCCGGTACCAAATAAATAAATAAATAAATAAAACAGGCTAAGAGGCATATTTTTAGAAGCAACTGGCCAGAGCTGGGGTTAATTCTAAGGAGGGCCTATAATGAGCGTACTGGACCTTGTAAGGCAGCAGCCCAGACAAAGCTTCCTTAAGGCCCAATTCCAGGGCTGGAAACATGAGCAGCCCATCCAGCTGACAGACGGGTGGGGGTAGGGGGCTCTCGGACATATCCTGGCAGTCAGATGAAATGCTAGTTATAAAAGGGTAAGGAAAAAAAGGCCAAGGCATTCCAAGTGATAAATACACTGCTTTATCCAGACTCTCTTATGTGCTAGTAACTCATTTACCTTATCTGCACTGCCTCAACCACCAATTTTTTAAAAGAAGATGAAAACACAGACCTGTAAATAAGTGGGCTTTGCCAATGTAACAGATCCTGGTGGCACAAAATGCTTTCTCACCATTTTATGACCACAAGTGTACTCACAAAGAAAAAAGTATTACTGAGTATAATACTACTGAGCATGAGTTAGGGAACTTTCTATCTTAAGAGATAAAAATAACTTGACATAATAACTACATATTTAGATCTGGTTTAATCCTTTTGGGGTCATAGGTAATTTTCAAAAATGGCTGAAAGCTAAAAATGTTACCCATAGAAAAACTTACAAAGTTCATGTAGTTTTTCAAAGAATTAAAATGCCTACAGCTAACCACAAAACCCAAATGAAGCACCTAGTCAATTCCAGCCCTTCTCATGTTTTAGCAGAGGAAACCTTAAGGCTTATACATGAAGCAATTTGACCAAAATGTGGTGAGATTAAAGGCAAAGTCAGGACTGTAACCTAATTTTTGGTAGATGAGAGTGATTTTTGACCAAGGGAAATTTGTGGGTGTTTTTTTTAAGCAAAACATTTATTGGTACATTTCAGATATACATCATGATAACACTTCATATGGAATTTGTACCTGCACATGATATATCGTCTTTATTTCCCCATCCCCTCTTTGACCTCTGCTCCCCTCCTTATATACAAAAGTTTTGTTTCCATTTTCCCTTCTATTTTATCTTTTTTTCTTGTTCCTTCTCCTCACCACCACCACCCATTGTGCCCCTTCTTATCTGAACACTTTCTTTGCCCAAGGGAAATTCCGAAATGCCTACAAAAGTTTTTGATTGTCACAAGTGTGTGAAAGCAGTGTACTGGTATCTAGTAGGTAGAGGCCACAATGCTATTAAACATCCTACAGTGACAGAACAGGCCCTCACAAGAGAAGATCAGCTGCCTAACGGCAACAGGGAGGTCACTGTGCTCTCGGGCCACGTGGCTTTCACTGCCATACTGCCTAGTGGGAGGCACTGCCCGGTGGCACTGTGGATACAGTTACGGAAGAGACGGTCTCTGGCTAAGGAACCGTGGAGTAGAGACTTACAGACACAAGCTCACACACACAGACTATGACATGGTAAGCATGAGAGGAGTGGTCAGAGACAGCGTCACGAGTAATCAGAGGAGGGATATTTCATAGTTGAGGTGATCAAGATCTTCCAGAGAAAACAGGCAACATCACAAAGAGCCACTGTTAAAACCTGAGAGAGTTTTGGCCCTCTGCTTCTTCTTTTGTATTGAGCAAATCCATGATTTAACTCACAAAAGCCTTGAGAGTTTCTTCTCGGGCACTGTGTTACAAAGGAGGGCTAGTTTCATACCCTCAAAAGAATGCTAGTTTGATTCCTATGGTGTGTACTTCTTTTGACTCAACCAAGGTCAAAAAGATCCATAAGAAACTTGACTATGGGCTCTTGTTCTCCAACGACTCATTCTAACGTGGCCAAATCACCTTTTTTTCATTAATAAGTAGTTTCCTCCTTATATAATACAGGTCTCTCTTTCTGTTTGAAATGCCTGGCACCAGAAATGTGTTCTGTTTTGTTTTGTTTTTTGGATTTTTGTTTGTTTGTTTGTTTGAGACAGGGTCTCACTACGTAGTTGAGTCTGACCTGGAACTCACTATGTAGCCCAGGCTGGTCTCGAACTCACAGCAATCCTCCTGCCTCAGCCTCCGAGTGCTAGATTACAGGCCTGAGCCACCATGCCCGGCTGTGTTGTTTTGTTGTTTAAAAATATTTGCATATTCAAGACATCTTAGGGATGGGAGCTAAGTCAAAGAACAATTCTCCTTTATGTTTCATATATACTTTATGGAGGGCCTGGGGATTTAGCTCAGTGGTGCTCCTGCCTGCCTCACCAGCGCAAGGACCCAAGTTTGATCCCCGGCACCAAAAAACAAACAAACAAACAAACATATATACTTTATACACCAACCATGATGGTAATTTTATACAGTATTTTTAGCGCACCTGCATTTTGAGTGTGATATGTCTCATGTAATCTAATGTGAAATTTTCACAAGTGGCATCATGAAAGAGCTCAAAAAGTTTCAGGTTTTGGATTTTCAGATTAGCTATGCTCAATATGTATTTTCTCCATCCAATAAAAAGCTACAAATATCTATTCTAATATTCTGCTAATCTGCTAATCTCTATTCTGCTAATCTGGCACAAAACTCTCTCCAAATTCCTAAGGCTTTGCAAATCTTTACAGTCAGGTTTTGATGTCTAAAATACATTAAGGAAGGGTGGGGGGTCTTTTTAATGTGCTTCTGGATTGTACATAAGATCCAATGTATTATAACAAAAGTTTTTTCTCATTAGGAATATAAATGTTTATGGGTCTAATTCATACTGAATGTATAACTGGAATAATGTTTCTGGAAGGCTTAAAGAACAAGATGCCCAGTTTTTCTTTCTCATATTTTCCCCTTTTGCTTTCTAACATCTTTTTAGCTTGAAATCACTACTACTCATGGAAAATTTACCAAAATTATATTTACAAGAAAAGAAATGATACATTTAAACACTGTTAGCATTATTTCATTCTATAGCCTCTGGGTTTTTTATTAGTTAACCTATATAAAATGTTTGAGATGTATACACTGTACAGTCACTCATGTGTTATACGACAATGTTCTGGTTGACAGACTACATATATAATAGTGGGTCTGTAAAATGGAAACAGCTGAAGAATCCTATCACCTAGTGACATCACAATTTCGTAAGGCTGTAACATAATGTGTTTGTGGTGTGGTGGTATAAATAAACCAACTGTGCTACCAGCCATGTAAAAGAGCAGCACACCCAACACAAAGAAATCATAAATGTTTGAGGTGACAAATGTGTGAATTACCATAAACTGCTCACTACACATTGTCTTCAAATACTGAAGTATCATATTGTACTCTATAAATATGTAAGACTTTGTATCATTTTAAAACAAAAGTATATTTTCAAAGTATAGCATGTACAATTATGTGTAGCAAATAAATACTTAACAATAAATGGCCAAGTTACTAGTTTGTGTGTTCACTACATTATACTTTTATTGTTATTTTATTATTTATTTATTTATTTATTTTGGTACTGGGGATCGAACGCAGGTCCTTGAACCTGTGAGGCAGGCAGCGGAATCACTGAGCTAAATCCCCAGCCCTCATTATTTTAGAGTGTACACCTACTTATTAAAAATGTTGGGCCAGGGATTTAGCTCAGTGCTTCTGCTGCTTGTCTTGCAAGCCAAGGACCTGAGTTTAATCCCTGGTACAAAAAAAAAAAAAGCTAACTGTGCAACAGTGTGCCATGTTACTCCGGCAGCAACCTCATTTGTCATGTTTAGTGTGTCCCTGGACTACACACAGAGGCCACACTGACAGACTGGTCTACCATGTGTAAGTACACTCTGTAATGCTCACGGTGAGGGAACTGCCTAATGAGAGGCATTTCTCAGAATGCATCCCTGCCCATTAAGGGGAAAAGGACTATATATGTATATTTATTTATAAATCCCATACATGTAGTATAAGTATTGTACTAGTGTGTTATATACATTTTTGGTAGAAGTAGTAATAGTAGTACTAGGGGTTGAACACACTTGCACATGCTAAGAATGCCTCTACTGCTGGGCATGGTGGTTCACACCTGTAATCCCAGCACTCGGGAGGCTGAGGTAGGAGGATCACTGTGAATTCAAGACCAGTCTGGGCTACATAGTGAGCTCCAGGTCAGTCTCAACTACATAGTGAGACCCTGTCTCAACCCCCACCAAAATCAAGAATGTCTCTACCACTAAACTATGTCCCTGCCTCTGTATACATTATTAAATATACACAAAAGTAACAATTTTAAATGAATGATGAAATCAGTCCTTATAGATAAAACTTCTGTGTTTCAGTGATTCGTTTAGAGAGACTGAGTTGGAGGTCTTTCTTCCTGAGAGCCAACAGATAATACATTTTAGCTTCCATATTCTTAAAAATTGAGAGCAGGTCTTTAGTAAGGTCCCTGATTCTTCACATGACCCTATGATGGCAGCAGAGAGTAAAGAATGATAAAGGACCATCTTCTGGCCTGGAAGAGGTTATCTAATTCACACTCTTAGTCTGCGCAGTTTACAAAGGGTTAAATTTAGATTATAGTTTTGAGACAGTAATGAGCTTGCTCTGTTCAAGTGGCTGGAGAGTAATAAGAAGAGGATAGGAAGAAAGTAAGAAAACAAAATCAGAGACATTGAAAGAAACCAGAGCACATACGTAAGTAATTAAGACATCTGGGTTTTATTCTAATACAGGAGTTTTTGAACAGCGGACTGACATGATCTGATTTTCATTTTTAAAATAACACTTTGGTTACTGTACGGAGAAGTGCAGGTGCACAAGGGTCAAGGCAGGGAAGTCGGCCAGGAGGATGCTGCAATAGTCCCCAAGAGAGATCCTTGGGGCGGGGACTAAAGG